TTATGCAAAAGAAATATGTTTTTATTAAAAAAATACATTTACATTTTGTGGACGCAAAAGAATAAAATTTCTAAGAAGCTTATTTCTTTTCTAATTTTTTATAAGAAAAAGCCTAGAATTACCTCGTATAGATCGTTCTTCTAAGCAGTTAAAGTTAAGTGGATTTTAACGGCCATGATTCTCGTAACATAAAATATGTATGCGTATTCTTAAATCTGCCACTGCAAGTCAAATAAAAACTATAGTTTACTTTTGAAAAAGTTGTTTTCGTACAATTATCTATTAATTAATATATATGTTTAAAATATATGTTTAAAATATATTTTATGTACATGTATACATAATATAATGTAAATATAATAATATATTGTATGTAAAATTTGAAACTATTATAATAATTACAAGATTAGTTATACATATATAAATATAAATATATATATGTAAAGTATTATTATATATATGTATAATAAAACAACAATTTTTTTATAACTCTATAAATTAAATAATCAATAAATTAAATAATCAAATAATATAATAATTACATATATTACTCCAATGAAGATGTATAATAATTTATACATTTAATGAATTATAAATATCTGATTATTAAGAGAAGGTAAAATTGCTTTGTCATATATTGACAAATGAGACAACAGCTTCTTGCCAGTCTAGAATGGATTGAATTCTATTTGATTGTAAAATGCATTCCCAATTCATTGTTGTCATACACTGCTTATTCATTGGTTGTTACGTAATTATTTGTAATAATAGAACAGAAGCAACTATATATGTTCATATCAAGCAGTATTCTCAATATCAAGCAGTATCAACGGGGATAAACGATTATGCAAAATAGATTAGTCTGCGAAAATATCTAAAACCGTCAAAGTAATCAAATAATATAAAGCGCAAAATAATTGAATTGGATATAAACTAAATAAAGAAAGAACTTATTTTATAATGAAAAATATTTATATTAAAATTATACTTTACAGTTTACATATCATCGCTATATGCAGCGCATATATAAAATTATATTTTATATAGCATATTACAATAATGCATACGAAATATAACTTTTTATAAGTTATTATTTTTTTTAACGTAATATATATATATATTTTATAAATTTTCTTGTTTGTACATAAGATATTCCGTTTACATTTCAACAACAAAAATTTTAAATCAATCGACCAATGTCAAGAATGAG